CCATTCTTAGCAATCAGACAGTCAACTTTCCAGAAAATGACGACATCACTCTGAAAGGACGCACAGTTATTGTGAAGGGCCCCAGAGGAACCCTCCTGAGGGACTTCAACCACATCAATGTGGAACTTAGTCTCCTTGGGAAGAAAAAGAAGAGGCTCCCAGTTGACAAATGGTGGGGAAACAGAAAGGAGTTGGCAACTGTCCACTCGATCTGTAGCCATGTACAGAACATGATCAAGGGGGTTACACTGGGCTTCCATTATAAGATGAGGTCTGTGTATGCTCACTTCCCCATCAACGTTGTTATTCAGGAGAATGGGTCTCTTGTCGAAATTCGGAATTTCTTGGGTGAAAAACACTTTTGCTGAGTTCGTATGAGGGCAGGTGTTGCTTGCTCAGTATCTCAAGCCCAGAAAGATGAACTAATCCCTGAAGGGAATGACATTGAGCTTGTTTCAAACTCAGCTGCTTTGATTCAGCAAGCCACAAGAGTCAAAAACAAGGATATCAGAAAGTTTGGATAGTATCTATGTTTCTGAAAAGGGAATAGTTCAGTAGCCAAATGAATAAGATCCAAGAGTTAATCCAGCCACAGAAACAAGCTTCAGGATTGTAAATCCAATCTGACATTTTAATGAGACAATAAAAGATCTTTATTAAATAGAAAAAAAAATTTTTTAAATGAAGCAAAAAAAAAAATTTTTTTTTAAATAAAAACAAATGAAGGGGCCAGGGAGATGGCTCAGTGGAATAAGTGCTTCCCTGGCAAGCACAAGGGCCTGAGTTCAATCTCCGGTTCCACCGAAAAAAAAAGAAACAAAGGACTAGAATGAGAAATGCAGATTTACAGTTACACTTAAAAACTTTAATAAAACCAATAAACATGTAGAAAATGCCTTGCCAGGGGCTAGGGAGATAACTCAGCCACATAAGCACCTGCCTAGGAAGCATAAGGTCCTGAGTTCAATCCCAAAAAAAGTACCAAAAAAGGAAAAGAAAATACCTTGCCAAAAGGATGGGGTCATCTCTCTCCTCATCTCTTTCACTGGAGACTAAATTCACACTGTCATCCAGGTTCTGTATGCAATAGAGTGTGTGTTCCTTAGTGCATTCACGTTCATTCACCTCAGGCTTTAAAAACTGACAATTATCTAGAAATAAAAAATGCATGTTATCCTAAAAAATGATAGCAGAAACATAATTACTTAAAGCACAAAGGAACTTAAATACAATATGGTGTTTTCCTATACAACATTAATCCATTTAATATTTCAATTTTTTGTTTTTCCAGACAGGGTCTCACCACATAGCCTAGGTAGGCACTGAATTCACAGTGATCTTCCTGCCTCAGCTTCCTTACTGTTGGGATTGTAGGTATGTGCCACCATGCAGGTTCAATTTTTATCTATAAGATACACATCCTCCTATTTTTGGAGCATAATGAAAATTTTACCAAGGTATAATTGTTTGTTTTGAGGATCTGCACAAGTGTCCTCAGAAATTTGTGGCAACTTCCAACAAACTTTTTATATATCTAATCAGGAAACTAAAAGTGAACTTGGCTATTTTGCTCCTTCAGAAGTATGATAATAATCCAGTAACAGCCATTATTTACACTGAGTACTAAGTGGTAAGAAGTTCTCAAAGGCATTAATATTTACTCCATCATAGAGAAGAGCGATGTGAACTCATGGACATACAGTGACTTGCCCACTGTCCTATTTAGAAATAAAAACAAAGTTTATTTCATCTCTCAAATTCAATTCTGAATCAAGCACTCTATATATAGTGTTTCCTATACAAATAAGCCATAAAGAACATAAAATTATGTTTATAAATCATAATGGGGTTCCGGGAACCCCCAGACCCAGTCCTAGCCCAGGTCCAGTGAGTGTGTGGAGAGCTTCCTGCTACCCTGCGCCGGCGGGACCAGTCCCAGC